TGTCTGTTTTCACTCCACCTCACGAATTCTCACACTAATTGTATTACATTTTGCCATTTTTGACCATTTTTGATTAAACAGTTAAAACAGAGAGTGATAGAAATCGATGCAGGCCGGACTCGAACTTGTTTTTCCCATATCAGCACCACAGCTCAAAATGCCATTGCTCATGATTTTACTCTCAATCCTTTTCCAATTCAAACTGTTTTTATTTTTTCTAAATCAAGATATACTTTGATTTATAACTAAAAGGCTCAACCAATCAAGTGAATTTGGAGTGGGACTGCCTGTTTGACAGACGAGGGACTGTTTGAAGGCATATATTATTTCGACAAACTCCACTGAAATGGCTTTGAACACTGGCTCAACCAATGGCGTGAGTTTGGGGCGGGACTAATGGCAGAAGAGGAAAAGTTTGAAAACGGACATCATTTCTGCAGATCTCTCTGGCGTAAAAATGAAACAAATGAAAATGTGTTCACACTTGCAACTCATTTTACTTCTGCAATGTGACATACTTCAAAATATTTAACAAGTAAAACCTGATTGGATCATAAAAATGGTATCTATATGACAGGTAGTTGGAAGGGAAGGGACAAAAAGTCAGCCAAAAATGAAAGTCATTACATTTTGATGCAAGACTGTGAAAAACATTGTAACAGCAGACGTTGCAGGCTGGACTCAAACAGTTTTTTCCCATATAAGCACCACAGCTCAATGTGTCAAGACTGTAATGGTCTGATGATTTTATAAAAATGCTGTCATTCCTTTTCCAACACAAACTGATTTCTTTATTCAACATTTTTTAATTAAAATATTATATTACAATCAGGGTATCTTCCGTCCAATCAATTTTTGTTTTAATATTGAAATCTGAAAAATGAAAAATGGGCACATATTTCGTTTTTTCAATTATTCAAACAAAACGAAAAATCAAGAATCCGGCTTAATTTTTCGTTTTTACATTCAGGGATAGAAAACGAATAAACAACTTGAATATTCGATCTCTACATGTGGGCGGGAATGAAACGCCCCTCTCTGCTAATTGGTCAACCAAACATTACAACATAATAATAGTCCTAAAAAAAACTTAATAATAGTCCTCCGCTTCTATTGATTCTTAACATGTTTATTTCTACTACATTTTATCTCTTCATCAGACAGCCAGATTAATGAATGGCTTGACACAAACCATACTGAAGCAGAGCCTTTTGGCCCTAGGCATGCCTGTTTTATTATAGTTATCCACCCATTAAAATATGTGTGGAAAAGCTGCGACGCACTGCAGCACGGGGAGAATGTATTGACCACTATCAATTTATGTGAACAAACAGTCATAACTTTTGTTTTAGACAATACGCTGCAGTTTAGACAAAGGAGGAACTTAAATAATATTACAGATATGAAAATAAATGACTTTGTGTAATTTACCTTCACAGCACATCTATTATTTTTCTATTTTGAGTTTTATTCATAGAGCACTTTATACAAATTTAGGAAATCATCTGTTATTATCCCACTGGCATGGGACTATTTGTTCCTCACAGTGCTTGTTTCAGTGATTGACTTTAGTGAAATGTGAATTTGACGTCATGATTTGAAGGTGAACTCGTTTGAGTTATAAGAACATATCCAAACCCTGAAATAACACTTCGAACAATAAGCCAGTGTCAGCAGTATCAGAAATTAACTTTCACATAAGGGGCAACTGATTTTCAGTTTTTTATTTATTTATTTATTTAATTTAATTTTTTTACCTTTTACCGTTTTTATGTCATTTTTAATGTTAAATTCTTACATTAAACAAATTAGAATAATATAACAATAGGCTGTTACCAATTCAGTATCCATACCAAATCAGTATTCAATGATATAGAACCTGGGTCTGAAGATGCTTTTAAATGTATTTACAGTTTAATGCTGATAAGATGGCTGTATGTGCATTTACAAATGTATAATGAAATTAGATTAATGTTTTATACAACATTTTTAATAGAAATATGAATAAAATTAAATAATACTTGAATTATGAAAGTAATATCGCCACTAGGTGGCTGTAAGTCATTGTGTTAATAAAGGATCCTTTTATTCAATCAATTGGTTCAAAATGCTTAATTCATTCATTTAGGAATAAAATCAAGCGGCTGTCTATAATAATTGGTAATTGAATTGTTGTCTATAATAATGGGTTTTTCAAAAACTGATTCATTTAGGAATGATACACCACTCTAAGCGCCTACTGTGAGTCAGTCAGGTACACAACGCTTCTGTGACTTGGGTTTAGTTGGCAGAGAAAATAACAATTGTGTATGCCATCAGTTAGCTGGCCAATACTCCATATTAATTAAATAAACTCAGTTTATTGTCTAAAACTACCAGTGTTCACATAAATTAATAGTGGTCTGCGCTTGTCTACAATACATTCTCCCCACGCTGCAGTGCATCGCGCAGCTTTGCCACACAGATTTTAATGGGTGGATAACTATAATAAAACAGGCATGCCTAGGGCCAAAAGGCTCTGCTTCAGTATGGTTTGTGTCAAGCCATTCATTAATCTGGCTGTTTGATGAAGAGATAAAATGTAGTAGAAATAAACATGTTAAGAATCAATAGAAGCAGAGG